AACTAGTGGAGAAATTTCACAAAAAATAATTGAATATCAATTCAATAAAAATTTAATTAATATGGTTTATTTACTAAGGCAGTAATGTGTCTTGAATTACAAGCTAGATATTCCAAGGATATGCATGTAGCGCTTAGCTTCCACATATATATGGCGAACGGCTATGGAGTGAAATTGCCTGCCTTTAGACTTGTTCAAGGCAAAGTCTATATAGGCATTATTTAGGTGTGCATGCTCCATCGTCGACCTCAACATCATTTCCATCATGTGAAATGAAGGATGAATACGCACTTACTTTTTTAATAAAAAAAATAATGCACAAACGACAAGTACATAATTCATCTTATCAGAGTGCCCATACCATGCGTTTACAGTGACTCTCGCTAGCGACAGAGTAAAATATTTGTATACAAAATATTACTTCCTCTCGTAATCGCTAGGGGCGCTGTATAATTTGCCATACAAAATTGTGAAGAAATTTACGCGGTCGCTAGCGACAACTGTCACAGTAAACTCATGGTAGAGGCACAGATACCATACCAGTTGGAATTTGTGTCCGAAAGACAGCCACTCCTTCTCGATGAGCACTTCGAAGCCGCGCAGCGTGCGGTAATAAGGGTCGAGCATCAGCATGCTGAGCGCTGTCAGCTGTGCTGTGCGGTCCCAGCCGTCAGAACAGTGCACTAACACGGACGTCTTGTGGTTCTCGACCTAATAACAAATAACTACTGTAGGTACTACTGTGTATATCCTTCACTCTTCAATACATTTTGTAATCAAAAGTGGAGGATAATGGGAGGATGAACGAACTGTGCATGCAGCGGAAATGCGTATGTGGAGATGAATGTGTGGAGTGACGAGAAAGGATAGAAGGAATGAGCAAATCAGGGGAAGTTTGAAAGTGGTGCCAGTGACGGAAAAGATGAGGAGTAATAGATTAGCGTGGTATGGACATGTCATGCGGAGTGAAGAATGTCATGTGACGAGAAGAGTGCTAGGTATGAATGTTGAGGGATATAAGGGGAAAGAAAGACCAAGAAAAGATGAATGGATTGTGTGAAAGATGACGTGGATAAGAAAGGTGTGAGTATGGAAATGACGGCTGATATGGGAGAGTGGAAGAAAAATACAGGTTGTGCCGACCCCACCTAGCGTGGGATAAGTACAGTAAGAAGAGTACTGTCTATATCCAAATGGCGAGAAATAATCTAACTTTAAATGCCTTCGTGGCCGAACGGTTACCATCCTGGACTGCTCAGAGGTCCCGGGTTCGATTCCCGGGCCGGGAGAAATATTAGTATGGCCTATATTTATTTCTCTCGTGACTTTGGGTGTAATGAGTGGTTGTCTACCTATGTGTGTGTCCATGGCACCCGCGATACAAGGTTTCCCTAGCGCGGGGCTAAGAGTGTGTGCGTTATTATCATTATCATTATCTTGTAATATATCAATTCGCACCACTGGAGCATATTCAAAGAATTTATTAAGGAGACGCGGTTACAGACTGAGATTTATAAAACCGGACTTAGACTTTGACTAAGCAAGAATGGTGAGCTAAGCAAGTTTTTCGTATTTACAAAACGAACTTTGCCAAAGTTTAGGCAAGAAATTACTAAGTAAACTATTTAGTTTACTTCGTAATTTTAATGTTTCATTTAAATTCTTGCTTAAACTTCAACAAAATTCATATCGAGTTCTGAGGATTTTGCGATTGTTACACATAGGAAACGAAAACCACCAACGTTTCGGGCCCTTTATAGGTCTCATGGTCAACCGTGACCATGGGACCTATAAAGGGCCCAAAACGTTAATTTCTTTGAATAAATAAATGTACGCGACTTAAATCCGCACAAATAGCTTCCATTTCCAATGTTCAACAAAGTTAGTTTTGTAAATAGGAAAATCTTGCTAAGCTCGCCGTTTTTGCTTAGTCGAAGTCAAAGTTCTTTGTATCTGAACCTTACAATACGAATATTAATTTTATAGTACACAAAAACTTTCTACATAAGTTTTGTTTATAGTGCCCCTCCCTATCAACCTCTTGGTTATGTGGGAAGGGCACTATGACCCTGTGCGTGCGTGCGTGCGTGCGTGCGTGCGTGCGTGCGTGCGTGCGTGCGTGCGTGCGAGCGAGCGAGCACAGGAACCATCTTAGTCAGGTTCTAACCCCGGATTAGCACGTTTGCACGTACTTCATCCGGGTCTCTGTAAGACTAATGCCTTACAGACTACTAACAAAGGACAATTAACAACAGCGGGTGAATATCAACTATCTTGGATGGTTTTGTATGTTTCAAAATTAAATGTTGCTACAATTAATACTTCAGTGGCTGAACGGTTACCATGCCGGACTGCCATGCAGAGGTCCCAGGTTCGATTCCCGGACCCGGAGAAATAAATATTTCATCTGGCCTACATTTATTTCTCTCGTGAGTTTGAGCGTAATTTGTGATTGTTTATATGCGTGTCCATGGTACCCGCGACACAGAGTTTCCCTGGTGCGGGTCTATGTTGAGTGTGTGCGTTGTTATTATTATTATTAATATAATTACCTTGTCGACTATCCGCACCGCCCCTGCTAATATACATTTTATGTGTTTCAACCAGCAGCTAGCTTCGATACCACTAAACCATCTGAAACAGATGGACGAAGTATCCAATTTCAGGGGTAAAATTATAAAAGTGTTTAATTATTAATAGGAAAAGTAGCTATAAATAAAATATAAAATAGTTATAAAACTCAAAATCCATTTACGGCAATTTTGCAGAACAGGTATATCGCTTTCTTTCTTCTTCTTAAACTGTCTGGGTTTTTAATACATTATATTCTTCAATATATATACATTATATTTCACGCCACTTCACAGACGATCTGCCAGAAGTGGACGAAGACGAAATCGGGAGGGCTCTTAAACAGCTTAATAATGGGAAGGCTCCCGGCGAAGACGGAATAACCTCTGAGCTTCTCAGGGCAGGAGGTGATCCAGTGTCAGAAAGCTCAAGGAGCTATTCAGCGCCGTCATATCCAATGGGACTACCCTGGAGGCGTGGAGCAGAAGCGTGGTGGCTTTGTTTTTCAAGAAAGGAGACAAAACCATCTTGAAGAACTACAGACCTATCGCGCTCCTGAGCCACGTTTATAAACTATTTTCGAGAGTCCTCACAAATCGTCTCGCCGGAAAATTTGACGCTTTCCAGCCACCGGAACAGGCAGGGTTTCGAAAAAGCAATAGCACCGTGGACCACATACACACTGTTCGGCAGATTATACAGAAGTCCGAAGAGTATAATCAGCGACATCAATGTCAATAGCCAAATTGACATTGATGCGCAATCCGGTCCAGTCAGGTGTCTTGAAGACGTCACCAGGGCGTTTGAGAACAGTTTCGAAGAGATAACATCTCCCTGTCTCATGCCTCTGTGCAACTGGATGGGATTCCAGAAACGCCCAGGTTTCGATGGAGTCGAAGGCTTTCTCGTAGTCCACAAATGCTAGACACAGTCGCTGATTATACTCTTCGGCTTTGCCGACGACATCGTTATAATGGCAGAATCGCTGCAGTATCTGCAGAATATGCTGAACAGCCTTAACGCTGCTTCATTATCGGTCATCGATCATAACTGCCTCCGTGGTCGAACGGTTACCATGCCGGACTGCCACGCAGAGGTCCCAGGTTCGATTCCCAGGCCGGGAGAAATATTTGTATGACCCACATTTATTTCTCTCGTGAGTTTGGGTGTAATTTGTGGTTGTCTATGTGTGTGCCCATGGCACCCGCGACACAGGGTTTCCCTAGTGCGGGGCTATGTTGAGTGTGTGCGTTATTATTATTATTATTATTATCGGATGAATTTGGACAAGACTAAGGTCTTGTTCAATGAGTTCGACATCCCGGAGCCGATCTCGATTAATGGCGAAACGCTCGAAGTTGTCCGAGAATATGTCTACCACGGGCAAACCCTACAACTAGGCAGAGACAACTTCGAGCGTGAAATAGCAAGGAGAGTGCTGCTGGGTTGGGCAGGATTTGGTAAACTGCGTCATGTCTTCTCGTCATCACTCCCGCAGTGTCTGAAAACCAGGGTTTTCAACCAATGCGTCCTACCGATCATGACTTACGGAGCTGAGACGTGGAACATTTCAGTGAAACTGGCTCACAGACTAAACGTCGCTCAGCGACCTATGGAAATGTCCATGCTGGGTATCTCGTTAAGGGACAAAGTCCGGAACGAAGTTATATAAAGCTAAAGTTGTGGACACGGGCTGGCCACATCTGTCGCAGAACCGATGAGCGATGGAGTAGACGGGTTCGCGAGTGGAGACCAAGTCTCGGCAAACGTAACGTAAGACGTCCCTCTGCAAGATGGACCGACGATCTGAAGAAGGTCGCGGGAAGTGGTTGGATGCGGAAAACGGGTGATCGGGCACTATGGCGTACACTTGGGGAGGTTTATGTCCAGCAGTGGACTGTAATAGGCTGATTGGTTGATTGATTGATTGATTCTTCAATATTGCCGATTTTGTTTTGTACGTAATAAACAATGACGAAGAAAAAGTTTTTGATAATTTCTTAAATGAGTTTTTTTCCCCCCAGGGAAGTAAAAATGAACAAAGAGAAATAAAAATGAAAATTAGTAAAAACAAAAAATCTCCTGGATACGACCTTATTTCTGGTGAAATTCTACATAATCTGCTTCGAAAAGCAGTAGTAAAACTGGCTACACTAATAAATGCCGCCTTTAGATTAGAATACGTTCCTGAACTATGGAAAGTTGCAGAATAATGATCCCGAAACCAGGTAAACCGCCTCGTGATGTCATGTCTTACAGGCCTATCTCATTATTACCCATGATGTCAAAATTATTTGAAAAGCTTCTACTCAAGAGACTGAAACCAATTCTATGTGAAAATAAACTTATACCAGGTCACCAATTTGGTTTTAGAGAAAGTCACTCTACTATTGATCAAGTACACAGAATAACCAATACCATAGAACAGGCAATGGAAGAAAAGAAAATTTGCTCTGCTAAAATACCCTCTGCTATTTAAGCAGTAGGTATTTCAAAATTACACAAGAAGACTCATATTCAGAGCTAAAAGAAATAAAAGCTGGTATGCCACAAAGAAGTGTCTTGGGCCCAACTCTTTACCTTTTTTATACAAACGATATACCCCAATCAATTGACAATACCATTGCTACTTTTGCGGATGACACAGCAATTATGGCTGTAGGATACAACCACAAGGAAGCAGTCGAGTAAAGTTCAAAAAGCCATTAACCAATTCCATGGGTGGACCAAGAAGTGGCGAATAAAGCTAAATGAAACTAAATCAGTGCACATTGACTTCAGTTACAAAAAAATTGACTACTGTCCATTATACATTGGAAACAAAAAGGTACCCTACGCAAATACCGCCAAATATCTCGGTATCTCTCTCGGGGTCTCGGTATGACCCTCGACGTGAAGCTACGCTAGAAAGCTCCCATCAAGAAGAAAAAAGTAGACATACGTTTAACGAAAATGTATTGGTTATTTGGCAAATGCTCTTCACCATCTGGGTGCAATAAAATATTACTGTATAAACAGATCCTTATGCCAGTGTGGACCCATAGTATCCAGCTCTGGGGCTGTGCCGCTAAAAGCAACATACAAACAATATAACGCTTCCTAAATAAAATTCTGAGGACAATTGTGGGTGCGACTTGGTATATACATAATGAGGATCTGCATCGTGATTTGGATATAAAGCCTGGAAATAAAGTGATAATAAGGTACGCCGAAGCTCACGAACATAGACTTCATCACGCAGCGTGAACATAGGAAGCTATACAGCTTTTAGACAATACAAATATAGTGCGTAGACTTCAAAGAACTACTTTTGAGTTAGTGTAGTTAATTATAGTGAATAAAATAAATATTAGTGCCAGTGCTAACTAGAATACGAACACACAAACAAAGTGTCTTCCCCTTAACTAATATTAAAAGATATTTTATCGATGGACAATTTCTTTATACATATAAGTTACTTTTATTGTAGGAAATTATGTTAAATTAAAATTGCTTATTAGTCTTGTAAAATGGCTAGATTGTAATTAGTTATAAGGATTTGTTTTGCTTTATAACAAATAAAAAATAATAATAAAAGACCAATGAAAAAAAAGAGGATCAAATATTATTTTTGAATACCAAATATTGATTTAGTATGCTTAAACATAATACAAGTGTTTACCTTGAATACTACAGATAAATTGTAAATGAACTGCAGAGCAACTAATAAAGATAATTTATGAAAGATAACATATATACGAAAGATAAAAAAATATCGTTGGTTTAAAAAAGTGTACATCAAATAATATTAATATATAAAAAAGACCTAATAAACATATTTGATCGAAGACTTAATAAAAGAAGCTATGACTAAACAGGTGCAGAAGCGTCTCATCCTTTTCGTCGACATTATGTTTATTCAAACTACAGCATATCTGTATAGTTGTATTCGGAAGCTATTTCTACCCAAGTGTTTGGTGCTACATAGGCGTTATCATAGTTTTCGTACACCTGTTGCGCTTCTTGCAAAGTTTCTCGTAACACAAGCATATAAAAAATGCTTTTGACTATACTGTGAATTTAAGATTTCAATTTATTAGCAATAAATATGTAACTGTTTGAGTAATATTTTGTTAGTAACTCGAGGTGGGCCCTATCGTGTTTTCTGAAGTTTATAACAAGAGAGAATAATCGTAGAGAAATATGTTCCCAAATATGTACATTACATAATATATATAACATTGCATATCGTAACCTTACCTAGTCTGATCAATCTGTGGGAAGCAAAGCTCTTTCAACTTGCGGAGACTTTCTCTCATTACGTGAATGTTGTGAATATCCAGAAATACTAGTTCGGCGTTCTGATACGCATCTTCTGACTCATAACTGCAACAATAGAATTAATTTTTATTATTCATTATACTCATGTAAGGGACATGATCCGAAATTATGTTATGAGACACCTCCAATGAACACTACGCCATCTTTATTTTTTGGTCGTCTTCTGTTATTTTTGTAAACAGCCATATTTATTTGCCTTAGTAAATAAATATGGCGGTTTAATATAAATATAATCTTATCCCTCCCTGAATTCTGTGAAAAAAAGAAACAAGAACAAAAAAAACGAATTTTGTAAAAAAAAAGAAAAAAACCAAATAAAAACAGAACAGGTCCAAAAATTAAGTTGGCTTAGTGTTCATTGGAGGTATCGATTGTAATGTTTTTAGACAGTTACACAATTTATACGAAACTCAGTGGTTTTAAATTTATAATGACAGTAAAAAACCATTAATTAAAAATAAACTACCATTGCCGGCTGTTTAAAGTTATACGATTCATTAACTCGCCGATGTTGTCATTATGCTAAGGGAAAATCGTTACTTATTCAAACGTACCCTCCTCCTTTAGCCATATTAGCGATGGCATTGGCGCTAGGCCTAGCATCCATGATGAATAATTTATGAGCCTGCGCATTTGCGTCCATTATCAGCTGAATGTACCGCTCGTCTTGCCGACTGCGTTGCCGACTCACCTGCAATTGCATCGTAACAAGTTTTACCAAGGGAGCGTCCAGCCTCCACGAATGACCAGCGGACGGATTGGTCATAAAGATAGACTCACTAGACTGACAGAAATTCAAAATTAGTCTGAATTTCATAAATACGACAAAATATGACGAGGGTTGTCGTAACTAAACTTCTGACGAGAGAAGACGACTCCTCCTGGACGTCTTACATTTGCACAGAAAAACCGTATATGTAATGTAACCTGACTGAGAACAAACAAATTAACATTACCTATTGAGACGGCAATGAGCTAGGTTTTTAAGAAATTGGTTGACAAGTCGTATAGATAGTGTACTTTTGTAGGTGTTGTATGGACTTTGTAGTATTTATTTATAGTGTCAACTAACACCAACTAAAGGCTGGCTGCATCTCGTAATAGTTGCCTGGGAGCTGGGATGTATCCACGCAAGCACGGGTATCCGTCCTCGGGATCGGAACGTCGCCACTGATCGCAATAGTTCGTCGTCTGCCGCTGCCGGCACGGCCCACACAGACGGATAACTGTCGCACACTTCATATTTGTCGTTTATGCGAGTAGTTATACGCCACATATCGTTGTTGTTTATTCCCTGCAAAAGAAATTTTGCTATGATAACAGATTATGTCAGATACATATCATTCCAGAAAGATGTTGTCAATTGTCTACAACAGAGCATAATAAAATAGTCATTTTTCATATTATTTCTGATTAATAATCTCTCACAGTTCTCCGAAAGTCACATTGCTATGCTATGCTTCAAAGAAACATTTTTTTTTTTGTATTTCATAATATATTCACCATTCTTTTCAACTCAGCAATAGGCTCGTACACATGCCATCCATCTTCAGGAAAGCTTTCTGTATAACTAAAAGCAAACAATGGTTGTCTATGTGAGAGAGGGAATGCCAGTTGCTGGAGTTTCTCAAATATTCCACGTCTTGAGTGGTTCTCTTGCTTATGAGCAAAGCGTAAGTTTCGCATGTCCTGGAAGAGACAACAATAAAGGCTATTAAAAAGAAAATTATGTGGCACCACTGGCACTATAGTGTATATTTATTCCACTCTTTGAGTTTACCCAAAAATAAAGCATCAATCCCCAAATTTTCAAGAAAAGTTCATAATATTTTTAAATGTTTATTTAAAATATTTTTTATTCTTCAGAATTTGTTTAACAAAAAATTGTTAACAATTGCAGCCACTTACCTTACAAAACACTTCAATTCCGTAAGAATTTTCTCCTTTAGATGATGCCCCTCCCACTTTTTCTATGCGAGAAACCTATATGTAAACAAATTTATGTTTCAGATTATAAGGATTTCAAATAAAAAAATATTTGTTATAATTATTAATACAAAGATCGAACACTCAGAAAAAATTCCTTCGATCCGGTCGGATTCGAACCGACGTCTTCTTGCATACCGTGCCAGACGCTATACCAACTAAGCCACGGAACGAACCAACGGACCTCACGAATTTTTCTATGTGCTTGCGTCGTGTCTTTGTACTTGGTCTTTCAACGACTTTTTAGTCGTAGCGCCATCTATGAGAAATCTTTAACAGATTTATCACCCAGTTAGTACCTTTACAGCTACCAGTCCTGGCGAGAGAAGTCGCTATTCACTGTATTAATTAAATTTTTATTGAATTGATATTCAATTATCGACGCAAGAACATAGAAAGATTCGTGAGGTCCGTTGGTTCGTTCCGTGGCTAAGTTGGTATAGCGTCTGGCACGGTATGCAAGAAGACGTCGGTTCGAATCCAACCGGATCGAAGGAATTTTTTCTGAGTGTTCGATCTTTGAATTAATAATTATAACAAACTAGTGGAGTAATATCACAAAAAATAATTGAAAATCAATTCAATAAAAATTTAATTAATACAGTGAATAGCGACATCTCTCGCCAGGACTGGTAGCTGTAAAGGTACTAACTGAGTGATAAACCTGTTAAAGATTTCTCATAGATGGCGCTACGACTAAAAAGTCGTTGAAAGACCAAGTACAAAGACACGACGCAAGCACATAGAAAAATTCGTGAGGTCCGTTGGTTCGTTCCGTGGCTTAGTTGGTATAGCGTCTGGCACGGTATGCAAGAAGACGTCGGTTCGAATCTGACCGGATCGAAGGAATTTTTTCTGAGTGTTCGATCTTTGTATTAATAATTATAACAAACTAGTGGAGTAATTTCACAAAAAATAATTGAATATTAATTCAATAAAAATTTAATTAAAAACATATTTGTATATTTTTTTATCAGTATAACACGTACAACACCAAGGGGCACACTCAAAGTTCCCTGGAGTGTGGCAGCATCAGTGGGTCTGAAGTGCAATTGATAGTTTGTGACCTTCAATACTCCTCGTGATGGTCCACTATAGGGGCATAGGTAGGTTACATCTCGAGCCAATTCCTTTACCTTCTCTCCTTCTAATAGTTGTATGTCACCTAGTACATGAGGCTGAAAAATAATTAAAATAAAATAAAAAAATAAAATTCCTTTATTTTCAGTTTAATAATTAATCCTTTTAGTGACAGAAATGCTTAAAATTATGTTAGTAACACAATTGGAAATGTAGCAAAATAACAATTTTATTATATACGCGTGGAAGTTAACCGGCTGAAATAGCCAAGTCCATTTTATTTGCCATCATCTTTAGGATTCTATTGTCGCTTCCCCATATTCGCCGTACAAAAGACATGGTTTTCTTTTGCATAATTGCGTGGAAGTCATCCCTGTGTGCATTGGCAAACATCGGGGAAGTTTCAAGACAAGCTTCGTGAACCTGACTCATAGACCACACATGGAAAAATGACAATATGCTTTGAATAGTGTTAGTTTAACATTGGACTCTACAATAAGTTAACCTATGTGCCAGCATGTTCTCACGAACTGAACGCCCTGCGCTCCGCCTCGTTATCCTCATTATCGATGTGCCCAAGATACTTAAACTGTGAACACGTTCTATAGCCATTATGTTTAGCAACCCTTGAATCATTCAACTCGCTTTTAGTTACATTATACTTTAAATCATGCTCCACAGCAAAAGTTTCACATACCCTTAAAACTTTCCTAAGATCTACAACAGACGGGCTAAGCAGTACCACGTCATCAGCGTAACTTATGCTATTGACTGTGACATCATCTATACGACGGCCTATATGTATACTGCTGAGCTCCTACATCAGCTAGTTCATATAAATGTTATAAAGCCTACACAAGGTCAATCCTCCTTGTATAACACTACAATTTGATACGTATTCATCAAAATGTACATTTGCCCATTTTATGGTGTTTTTGGATTAGTGTACAGTCAACAGCACTTCAAGCTACACATTTTTATTCGAATGTCACCTCCAATGCAATGGAACAAGATCCATCAAAGTGTAGCTTGATGTGTTGCCATCTGTACGAAAACTGAAAAATATTTATGACTTCCAGAGAAACCTCTTCATTGAACCTAACTTAGTCCAAAGTTTGTTATATGACACTAGGTCAAACGCTTTTGACAAAATCTAAGAAACACGCAACATAGGAGATTTCCTCTTTACATAATAATCAACAGTGTTTGACGGTCAAAATATTAAGGTTGGCTTTTGATTTTAGAATCAAAACAAACTAAATGTGAAGTCCTATAAATATAAGTGAAGATTTCAACTTATATAAAAAACTGTTCAGTAGAAATAGGCTAGATTAAAATATACTCACTACAATATATTCATTAACAGGCAACAACATGTATTTATATAGACACCTACTGAGTTAAAGAAATAAATTAGCCATTCCTGCTAATAATAGTACATAGAAAATAATGCTGGAGTTGAAATCAGACACTAAGTATATAAGTAAAATATACAAGCCTTTGAAAGTTCTGTGCATCGCTGAATACTATTGACGAACACACATATGTGAATAGTTCTATGACTGCTCATAATGAAAGGTTCACAATGTAGCTTGAACTCAAGATAAGGTGCCACTAATGATGCCTATGAGCAAACTAACCATTCCCCTTGCTTTAAAATGCGTACAGGATGTACCATAGCAGTTAACGAAGACAATATGAATTAATTAAAACGTTTTAGGTAAGACACTTACGGAATCTTGGCCGTGTTTAGAATTCAATGAACTTGATTTAGAGTCAGAATCCAATGAATCAGAACTTGCATTTTTTGACAGCGAGAAATTTGAATGCAATAATTCTGAACTGTTGTGTTTGTCCATAACTAATACCAAAATGTCGCTTTTGGTTAATTATTTTATATTTTATTTATTTATTTCCTTCTGTAAAAGAATTAAAAGTAGCAAGTTAGATTCTGCTGACTGTCAAAAAAGTTTACCAATCCTAATAGTAATAGACAACTTATGACCTGCAGAAAGAGATGGAATGCGGCAGTCCCTTACATGTTAAAAAGAGAAAAGTAACCGTGTTCTTTTAATTTACTGTACTACTAAATTTGTTTGGTTAATAGGCTAGTATGCACGACGTCAACAGTGCACCAAAAAATATCGTAGACGGAGAAAACTATAGACAGCGAGTAAGCGTGGGAATACACGTCCGATTTCGTGTTTGATGGTCGACTATCGGATCGGATTCAACGTCCGATAGGCGTCCGATTCTTTAGTCAGACTTTTTCTGAACTAACTGAAGTGTTGCCAATTTATGGCGAATTCCTCAAAAGCAGGGAATTTCAACTCAACAACTCGTTTGGGGATTTTGTTTGGATTACGCTATGTGGGGAAAATATATATACCCTCATATTCTAGAATTTTATCATATTTTTGTTACATTGATGATCGCTGATAAAAACACTATTTATTTGTTTGTTTATGAACGATATTGATATTTTTTTCAACATAGCACATGCGCTGCTTATATAGCAACGTTTATATAGAATTATTAGCAAACCGCTTATATGTATAAAATTATCCATTAGGATTAGAATCATTTTATCTTGTATAGTAAAATTACTACTATTATCAGTCACCGACAAGATCCTGGCTCTTAAATAGGATGATGATGATCAGTCGGTGGGTGTTGAGCGCGCGACCCTTCCATGCGTTTTGACCGGTCCCCAGTGTGAAAAAAGAATACAGCTATTGCCGAACAAAGCCGAGCAGTAGGTATTTTAAAAGACTATCCACATACATCAGGGCCGTGCCCGGGAGGTGGACGGGGCGTGCTAATTTGTATGAACTGCGGGCCCGCCTTGGCGCCGACCCGGACACGGACATGTGTGAACGAGTTCATACAAAATATACGCAACGATGTTTTTTTGAGCCCCTGTCGGAGCACGGCCCGTCGACGTCCAGGGGTGGATAGACCTTATTACCAGAACGTGCCACTCGTCAAGCTTGTTGAGTTTATTTTCTAATTATAGCATAACGTATATGTATTGGTGGGCTCATATTGACTTTCTTAATTATTTGATATATTTTTAAGCGTAATAATTATAATATAATAAAAACTGAGAATTAATAAATATTATTACATGTGGGAAACCTTTGACCTTTGCTCTCCCCAAATATATAAACTTGATATTTGGGGATTTTGAATAATTTGCATCAGCAAAACTGCAAATCGGAGGGAAGAATCGGACGTGTATTTCGTCTCCCCGCAAAAGTATAGAGAGCGCGCCTTCAGACAATCGGACCGGTAATAAAATCGGATGCTATTTCCGACTCGGATGTGACGTCACGTCCGATCCGGGTATCGGATCGGACGTCTTGAGTGTTCATACAATTATATGGTATTAGCGCCTTCCGGTAGTCGGATCAGACTATCGGATGGAAAAATCTGACGTGTATTCCACACTAGGCGTGCCGATGAAAAGGACAGAAAACAAAGTAATTCTGAAATTTAGTGTTACCAGGATGTGAAGCACTTTTCCTCATAACTTCTGTAAAAATATATTAGTTAGTTATAAGTACACAAAAAAGTTTTTTTTTGTGTACTTAAATTTTTTTTTACTATTCTTTAGGTAGATAAAGGAAGATTGCTTAGCCTATCGCTGTAGGGGACATTAAATCAAGGTATCTGAATTTTAGAGTTCGTAGTTTTCGTTAAATATTTTTAACTTTTACAAAGGCCAGGCTTTAAAATAGAAAAAAAAACATGAAAGTCGAAATAGTATTTTATTATTGCTCTTGAAACCGTACTAATTTAGAATGTACATTTCGTATTCTTTGCTGTGGTGCAAAATTGTCTTTAGTGGTGAATGCATGTTTCAAAGTAATGCATTGCAATTACTTTAATCAAAAGGCTTCTATGATTATCTATTATAGGCTGAGAATAAAAATGATCGGTAACGAAAATTTTACTACGGCATGCTTTGAAACATGAAAACGCCAATTTAGGTATTACATTTTTTTCAATATAAAATGACAAAACTAGTGCGAACGATGTCGACATATTTTTTCAAGCAGTTTCCATACTGTCACGTCTTTATCGGGATAAATAAGGCCTCCTTTATATCTCTTTTCAATAATTCCCTTATAATTATAGGTGACGAGAGCGACAAGGCAATCCTCACATTTAAGATTTTTTCTTAACTTTTTGACAATAAAACCACCTATATACGTGATAATAACTTCATTAGCGTAAATAGTTAAGTCTTGTGGGGTCAGCTAAATAGTCATGGTCGTTGTCAATCACGTCATCAGATGTAGAAGAATCTTGTGCCTCAAATTCGGACAGTTTCGTACACAAATTTAGTTTAGATTCATGTCGAACATCGCTAAAGGTCAAAATGTTTATATCTTCAAGGGGTACACAATTTCAAGTCGTAAGGTGTATAAGGCGTTTGTAGGCGCTCTCGACCTCAATGGCCGTAGGATTATTATTGAAACCACTTTTCACTCGTATAGAATAAAAAACACACTCTAAATGTTCCTGGCTTAATTTATACATCGGCACAAATCTCATGTCCTCGACGCTATATAATTTTGGTAAATAGTTCTCAAACTTTTAATATATAAAAACCTACCTAGCACTCTTCTCGTCACATGACATTCTTCACTCCGCATGACATGTCTGTACTACGCTAACCTATTACTCCTCATCTTTTCCGTCACTGGCGCCACTTTCAAACTTCCCCTGATATACTCATTCCTTATCCTTTCTCGTCATTCCACACATCCATGTCAACATTCGCATTGATACATACACAGTTCGTTCATCCTCCCTTTTCATTGCTCGACATTCTGATCCATACAACATGACAGGTCTAATCACGGTCTTGTAAATTTTCCCCTTCAGCTTAAGGGGCATTCGCCGATCGCAAATAGTGCCTGTGACCTGTCGCCATTTCATCCACCCTGCCCTTATTCTGTTCTTAAAGTCGCGGTATATCTAGCCGTCGTTCAGTATTAACGAACCGAGGTAAATAAAATCGAAGCAGACTGGTAGGGATACACCATCTAAGGCAATATTGGTAAAACTGAAGGCACCGCCAAAGTCGAGGAAAAGCTGTTCGATTATTGACCGGCTAATCCTCAACTCGACACTCTCCAGTCTTACCTGTCATTTTGCCAGTCTGCTCTGGACCTCAAGTGCGTCCTCCCCGACAAGTACAATGTCGCCGGCGAACATCGTGCACCAGGGTGCCTCCTCCTGTATGTCCGATGTTAGAGCATCCATAATCAGGATAACCAGATAGGGGCTTAAAGCCGATCCGTAGTGCAAGCCCACAGCCACATTGAATTTATCGGTAACGCCGGCTTCAGACCAGACTCTACTACACATAGCACGGACAAGTTGCAGGTATTTCCCAGGCACTGTCTTCTCTTTCAACACCCACCACAGAACCTCACGGGGTACTCTTCGTACGCCTTCTCCAGGTCTCCAGGTCAACGAACACCATGTGCAAGTTCTTGTGCACACGTCTAAATTTTTTGCACAATTGGCGAAATGCGACTATGGCATCCATCGTCCCAGTACCAGGCATAAATCCGAATTGGTTCCGGGTTATTTCACTCTCTCCTCTCATTCGTCTCGCAAACACTTTTTCCCGAACTCTCATACTATGCGACATGAGCTTTATTCCCCGATAGTTGTTAAAGTCATGTACATCACCCTTGTTTTTAAAAACGGGCACCAGCAAACTGTTGCACCATTCATCCGGAATCACCTCTTCTTGTAACAACTTATTGAAGAATAAGGTCTGTCACTTCCACCTATCCGCTTTTAAAAACTTCCATACTTCATCTGTTATACCATCTGGCCCTACAGCTTTCCTATTTTTCATATTATTCACCGCTTCTTTTACTTCATGCATACTTGTCTTTATTCTTTATTCTCATTTATTTGCATACCATAACATAATGTACATTCAATTATGGATCCTGAATAGGGCACAGCAAATAGTAAAAGAGCGGACTAGTCCTAATTATTACATTTACTTAATATGTAATTAATTAATTTTTTTTTTTGTGACTCGGCAAAATGACTGCACAGCGCCTGATGGAAAGTGCGAATACAGTCCAGAGAGGAAAGTAACGGATGGAAAACACAAATATCTTCACTCCGTCACTGTCATTTTGCCGGTCTGGCCAAATGCTTCTTCACACTACGTTTGAAGGACCCGATGTTATAGAGGGGAGGGAATACATGCGCCGGGAGTTGGTTCCACAATTTGATGGTTCGGCATAAAAACGAATTGCCAAACTTTTTAGTGCGGGACGGTATTGAACTGACCGTCCAACTGTGGCAACGCAGTCCGGCACGGGTGGTCCGCTGATGGAAAGGAGAGGAAGGGATAAGGTTGAATAACTCTTCAGAGCACTCACCGTGGTACAAGCGATAGAATACGCTTAGAGACGCTATATCTCTGCGAAGCTGTAACGACTCCGCATGCTCAGTTACATGAGGATCGTTGACAGCACGGAAGGCGTAGCGCTGCAGTCCATCTAGGGCATCGAGCAAGTACTTGGCAGAGCCGTCCCAAAGGTGCGAACAGTACTCCATGCTGCTTCGGACCTGAGCTTTATACAACAGGTATCGAAGCTCTGGAGTAAAAAATCGGTGCACCTTGTTCAGGATGCCAAGCTTGCGCGACGCGGTACAGATGACGCTCTCGATATACTCTTTGTTGCTCATGTCCTTCCGGATGCTCATCCCCAGTAGGCTGAGCTTGTCCTGCAGCGTCAGCATTGTACGCTGAAGATAGGGAAGTGGAAGGAATGGGGGATTTTTTGGAGCTGAACGCGCATACCTAGATTTTCTCGGCGTTGAACTCAACCAAGTTTCGGGAGCCCCACGACGATTTATGTT